CCGGAGGAGGTGCTGGTCCTAGGGGTGTGACAGTGATACAGCAGCAGCAGCAGCCATTGCAGCAGCCAGCAGTAGATCCAGCAGTGGCCCTCAGCAACAGTGAGGACCTGCTGACCTGGGGAGTGTTGGCCATAATGGCGACCATGATAGGTGGGTGTCGCGTTGCCATAACACTGGTCCCTGCAATTGCCGAAACAACGGTCCCTGCCAGTACTAACTTCTGACTTGTTCAGGTACTGGCACCGGCTGCGCGCGTCACGATCACTTCACTGCGCACTGCCTCTGCCACTGCAAGGACCTCTATCAAGGCCACTTTGGTCCTCTCGTGGTCACCCTGGGCTAGTTCGCGCTGCTCCAAAAATGGTCTGCCTATATTTACTACGAGCGTGTCTGATGTGTATTCTCCTCTGTATGCTACGATGAGCTATTGACTACAATGTTGGTCTTATTATTTGTATGTGCCTATACTAGTATCTTTAATTGTCTCTAGCATAGGATCTTTTGTTTTTGCTTGCCCAGGTGCGCCCGCTACTAACGCACCCCTCTACTGCACACTTATATCTGGCGTATATCATTGCTTCTTTCACGGCTGCACCGCCCTCTCGCCACTTCCAAATCCTGTTGCAACATTTTTAGCCAACCCCTCCTCTAGACCGGTCGTTGCTCGCAGCGTTACTATTCATATCTGGGTGTCTCATCCGTCTCCCTCATATGTCTGCACATCCCCTCGTTCTACAGGAACTTTGTGGGTGTATGTTATCCTCAAAACCTCGGTATCACCATCACGTTTCGTAGATGCGAGCAGTTCGCGGCATGTACAGACGCTACTACTAGGGCACCTATTGCCACGCTCCCCCGAGAGTCTGGGTCGAATCTCTTCATGCTGCACACTGCGTTCGCCTAGGGGTCTGTGTCAGGTCACGTAGCTACCTTGTGCTCGTGTCGATCGCTCTCCCACCCATCCCTTATGTGGCACCGCCGTCTAGGTCACCCCGCCCTCCCGCGTCTCCACCATATGGCTTAGCACTGCCTTGTCTACGTCGCCGTGCACTCCTTGCGTCAAGGGCAGGCAGTGCGAAGCCCTTAGCTCCTCCTCGTTTCATCCCACCACTGCACCTCTTTAGACCTTGCACATGGACGTCTAGGGCATAGCCCTTGTCTTTGGGCCTTGCTGAGAGCGCTACTTCCTAGTGGTTGCAAACGACTTCCCCCGCTACGCCACGGTGTGTTCCTTAGAGCAGAAGGCCAATGTGTATCACGTGGCTTGTAGCCGTCCGCGCCCAACACGCCCAACGCGTGCTTCGTCTGCACTCAGACCGTAGTGGAGCGTCCTCATCCTGTCACTTTTGCCAATTCTGTCTTGCGGAGGGTAACGTCTAGACTTTCATGCTCCCGGACTTGCCACATCAGAATGGGGTACCTTTAGCGTCGCATTGGTTTTGTCATGGAGATCGCCTGTACCTTCATGGTTCATGCAAGTGCCCCCCATTTTCTGTGCTTGTTTGCAGCTCGCTATGCCGCGCACCGGCTTAACATATGGCTTCGTGTCTCACAACTGCATGTTTTGCCGACCCTCCGCTGGACTGGGTCCCCTGGTGCCGTGCGTGCGTTTCGCGCCTGGGACTGCCTTGCTCACGTCTTCAACCCTTGCACGGACAAGCTTTCAGCCTGCACACTCCCCAATGTCTTCCTTGGTTTCCCTCTCGACACCCCTAACTGCTTGTTTTACCACCCCTCATCTCACCATTTCCTTCACTCTCGCAACGTCACATTTGACAATTCCGTCTGCTTCTACACTCCATTCCCTCACCAAAAAACCTCGATTCCCCCCCCCTCCCCTCTTTCTCACTCGCACGCCTCCCCCTGGTCCCACACCTCTGCTTGCTACCCCACCCCCGCGTCCTGCCTCGTCTGGTATATCACATGACACCACCCTTCCCTCGGTTGGGCCTGTGGGGGAAACTAATGACTCTCCGGTCCAGGTACGTGGGATGCACCTCCTGTATAGCCGTCGATGCTGCTACCGCTACCGCTGCCGTGGTCTCTGCTGTCACCGGTGTAGTCCTTGCAGTTGCCGCAACAACCTTGATTGCCGCCGCCACAGCCGGTCGCTGTGGACTTTGGAGGTGCTGGTTTTGGGGGTGCTGCTACTGGGGGTGGTGGTTCTAGAAGTGCCGCTTCTAGAGGTGCTGGTTCTGGCGGTGCTACTGCAGGAGGTACTTGTTCTGAGGTTGCCGCGAGCATGGGACGACGGTCGCAGCAGCAGCTGCCACAGCAGAAGCTAGCGACGTTCTTGCTCAATGACTTATGTGAGCCGCCTAGCACTGTCCTGGTCCTATTTGCTAATAACAGGGCCACAGTCCTCCTGTGCCAGGAGCCTAGACTGGATGGCAAAGCAAAGCATTCTGTCAAACATATTTGTATGTTATTTTTTAGCCTATAGTGAGGTTAGCTATAGGGGGTATGATTTCTAGAGTTTGCTATATGTACCCAACCCTTGCTAGTGACATCCACTCCGCTGTTTCTTAGTTCAACATGGTATCATCGAGTAGGTTAGGTCCTGCCCGTTCCTACTGCCAGTTACTGCCCCACGCTACTACCCATTCCTACTGCCCTACTCTGCCACGAGTGCGCTGCCTTGCCCTGCCTTGCATGCGCTTTGCTTCCCCGCACGCTGCTGCCCTGCGCGCTACTGCCCCGTGCGCCGTTTCACTCTGCGTGCTGCTGTCCTGCGCCCCGCTGTCCCACGCGCCGCTGCCCTGCGCCCCGCTGCCCCGTGCGCTTCTGCCTCGCGCGCTGCTGCCCGGCGCGTCGCTGCCCCGCACGACGCTGTACCGCACGCCCCGCTGCTCCACGCACCGCTGCACCGCATGCCGCTGCCCCGCGTGCTGCTGCTCTGCGCCCTACTGCCCCGCGCGCCACTGCTCTACGTGCTGCTTCCCCACGTGATGCCCCACTGCCTCGAGCGTGGCTGCCCCGCGTGCCATTGCCCCGCGCGCAACTCCCTGTGCGCATCTGCCGCCCTTGCACCGCCGCCGCTGCCGCCCGTGTGCCGCACAGCCGCCGCTGCTTCTCGTCCACCGCACCGTTGCAGCTGCCACCAGTGCACCATTCCCCACACATAGGCTGGGCATTCATTTCTACATGTAAAATGTTCAAATCTTTTGTCATACAGAAGTTGATGCGATCCTGGGTGAGCAAGAAGTAAATTTCGACGCTGAAGGCCATCCTATCGAGTATGAGTCCTGGCTAGAGGACCTTCACTTGTACCTGCAGAGCGTAACCAAGGATGATGTCTCGCCTTTTTAGCACACGTTGTGGTCCCTTAAGGCCCCACCCACTCCGACTATACTTGACCCTATAGCGCCATCGGACGTGCACGAGCGGTATAGGACTGAGCGTGTTGTTAGTATAAAGTGGTTAGCACGCGACGCCACTGCCCAGCTTGCAGTCCACGCTCACCTCCCGCCCGACCAGATGTCTTACTTTCGCTAGTTGAAATTGGCCAAAACACTCTATGACGCTGTAGTTAAGCGCTACTCCTCCCCTTCTTCTGCCACGTCTTGCGCTGCCGTTTCTCTTGCTTGAGCTCTCTGACTTCACCACTATAGCCAACCTCATGACCCACATGCGCTCCCTTGACATGCGCTACCATGCTGCTCTCAAACCAGAGTTTCTGACTGATAACCAGCCCCCCATGCATCCCACTCTCTACTTCCTCACGACTCGCCTCCCCGGTCATCTTAGCACCGTTTGAGACCAATTCCTCTCCCTATACCCCAATGAGCCCACCCTTGCCTCGTTTAAGCCCGTCTCTTTGAGGCCGAGACTAGTGCCTGCGTTATAGCTGCCTCCCGTGGTACCTCCCCGCCCCTCCTTCTTTGAGGGGTGCTCCCCCTCCCTTTTCGCGCCTTCTGTTGCCTCTACTGCTGCTGTTGACTTCCTTGCTGCTGAGGAGGTCGGTGCTGCGTCTGCTCCTAGTGGGAGGCGCCACGGCAGGGGTGCGCGTAGTTTGGGTGGGGTGGTGGGGGTAGTTATGAGAGTACGACGGCTTATGCTGGCTTTGCTAGCTTGCCTGGACTTTATTATGCTATTACTAGCTTAGCTTTATTTTATCTTGCATGCTTTTGTTTGATTTCCTAGGTTCATTGCTTTTACTATAGTTATGATAGTTATTATAGTTATAGGCACTGAACTAGGTTGAGTGCACCGAGTTCTAGGCTTTTCGGTTGCCACCGAATTGCCTTCTACCGAATTTGGGAAGGACCCATTCGGGACGCTTTGCGATCCGCGGAATCTTCTAGTAACACTTAGGTTACTGCCTTTGTGTCGAGCCTATATATAGCCTCGCCTTGTACCCAGGTGATTCATTCATGAGGTTTATCTTTCTTGAACCAGATCCTCACAGTAGTGGAGGTGGCGGTGGTGGTGGCGGTGGCGGGGGTGGTGGCAGTGGCGGTGATGGGGGTGGCGGAGGTGGCGGTGGCGGTGGAGGTGGCAGCAGCAGCCGCCACAGCAGAAGCTAGCGACATCCTTGCTCAATGACTTAGGTGAGCCGCTTAGCACTATCCCGGTCCTATTTGCTAATAATAGGGCCATATTTCTCCTGTGCCAGGAGCCTAGACTGGATGGCAAAGCGAAGCAGTTCAGTTGCGGTACCTCTTAATGCGCCAGTTTTAGTAGCGCGGCCAGGCACGCATAGTACACTTGGCCTCAGGGGCCAATACCGCTGACATTTTCACCAAGGCGCTCCATCCTCGTGATCACCAGCAGCTCTGCAGACGGCTTGGCCTGGTCCCAACAGGTCCTCACTTGCCATTTTCTTAATCTCTGTATCTTGTACTGTATCTGATTTTGTCTATATATATGCTCAATTATTGGCCTTGTGGCCGTTTGTTTTAGAGGTTGGGCTAGTATTACCGCCCTGAGTTGTACCTCATACTCTGTGTTACTCTTGTTGACTGATCTTGTGGCTGCTTGCCTCAAAGGTTGGACTGGCTCTACCTCAGGTAACGGAATTGGAAGGGCGGAGGTGGAGCAGGAGATGGAGGTAGAGGAAGAAGTTTAGGGTGGAGAGGAAGGTGAGGGTGGGGAGGAAGGTGAGGGTGGGGAGGAAGGTGAGGGTGAGAATGAGGGGGGGATAACGAGTAGGAGGGATCCGGCTCGGGTGATGGCAGCGAGTGCCCGTATGACCCGGTTGTTGATGGGGTGGGGGAGAGGGTGGAGAGGGCTGAAGACGAGGAGCGTGACATGGCTGATTGCGAGAAGGAGGCGGAGGGGGAGGGTTCTGCGCCTGGGGGGGGACGGGGGTGTGGAAGGGCTGGGGGTAGAGGGCATGGGAGGGCACGGGCTCGGGGTGGTAGGGTTGGACGAAAGGGGGGACAGAGTGAAATGGTCGAGGGGACTTCACGTGCAAGTCAAGTGGGTGTGCACGTGGCGGTGGTGGAGGTCCCCGACCACCCCGAGTGGTTCCTCCCAGAGCTAGGCCACGTGCATCTAGGGTTCGGGGTGGTAGGCAAGCACGTGTTGCACGTGATGGCTGAGTGCCTGCCGATCCCGCGTCTACTAGTAGGGTAGACGAGTCCACCGTGGATGTTGGAGAGGATGTCACAGAGGAGGAAACTGGGTGTAGGCATGACCAACCAGCCCGGGCCGCCTCGACCCCACCCGACCTGGCCAAGCTACACGGGCTCCGGGGTCGGGTCGGGTCGGGCCGACCTCGGGCCAGGGTGCTGGAGGTTCTGGCCCGACCCAGGCCTAAACACTCGGGTCAACTTTGACCCGGCCACGGGTCGGGTCGGGTCGGGCCAGGATGACCCGCCCATGTTAAGGGGGCAGTGAGGTGTGTAGTATCTGTAGTGTTTGTGAATGTTTTTCTGGTTATAATGTATGACGCATGATGTAATTACTTGTTAATGCATGGTTTATAGTGTTGTTTCCTTATGTTGTGGTTTATGGTTTTAGATGTTTCTTGTTAGAACCAGCTACTACAAATGCATGCAGTCAACCACACAATAAAATAGGCCACTAATAAGTATTCAAACCCGCAACTGCAAATGCAATCTACCACACAATCAAGGGGGTCGCTGATAAACATAACAGTGCGGTGCCCTAGAAGTCACAGAGTTAAATGAAAACTCCCCCACTCGACAAAAGCAACTGTCAATCACAACCCCAACTGCTCTGGCTCAAGGCGCAGCTGTGCTTGCATGGTCCTAGTGCCATAAATCTCAAGCCTCTCTCCAGCGTGGTGATCCTACCATGACTTGATCATCATGGACGCAAGAATCTGCTGTGCGCTCAGATGGTGCCTCTTCCACGTGATGATGTTCCTGCTCTAGCTGAAGTCTCGCTCACTCACCGCAGACGTGGCAGGTATAATCAGATAATCGCGTGCCATGGCCCTAAGCCCGGGCAGCTGCTGCTCCCTCCCGCGCCAGTACACTAAAAAAGCACCCACCTTCCTTCCTCGCCTCAGCCAAGTACTGGTCCACCTCGTCCTGTGCCTGCACCCCCTCCTCTGCCTCCATCTCTGCCAGCTCAGCAAACAGCATAGCCTGAAGTCGAGCACGCCACCTGCCCTAGCCCCCCTACGCCCTGCAGCCCCGACAACTGCCGTGCCCTGCCCCGCCACTCCCCTAGTGCTAGTGACCTCTTTGCTTCTGCTCGGGCCACTACCTGGTACTGTGGAAGGCGCTTGCGTACCAGTGCCTTCACCCTCTCCTCACCCAGGTTGAGTGCCCGGGCCCCCCCTGGCATGGCCCCCTGCCTCCACCACAATGGGCGCGCTACTCTGCGCCCTTTGGGCACTGAGCCTGAAGGGTGCAGTCTCGAGGCGCGGATCGAAGAAGGTGGCAATCGACGCCTCCTCGCCCGCCCCCCCTGCCCCGCCACTCCCCTAGTGCTAGTGACCTCTTTGCTACTGCTCGGGCCACTGCCTGGTACTGTGGAAGGCGCTCGCGTACCAGTGCCTTCACCCTCTCCTCACCCAGGTTGAGTGCCCGGGCCCCCCTGGCATGGCCCCCCGCCTCCACCACAATGGGCGCGCTACTCTGCGCCCTCTGGGCCCTGGGCCTGAAGGGTGCAGTCTCGAGGCGCGGATCGAGGAAGGTGGCAATCGACGCCTCCTTGCCCACCCCCCCCATGTGGCGCTCCATCTTGCTCACTACCGCTGTGGTCAGGTCCTTGCACAGCAGCGGCGTACGCAACGTCGTATTCAGAACATCCAGCAGCATGTTGTACTAGGGTAGAATAGTTCCCATGCTGGGGTACAAGGACCCCTCCACGAATAGGGTGATAGTATCAAAAGGAATGAGGAAATCACGCAGCTCGATGAGGGATTCCCATTTAGCATCGGACAGCCTGATTGCTGCCCATGCCTCGCGTGTGGCACGGGGGATTGCTGGTCTAGGAGGAATGGAGTGGAAATGGTTGAAGAGGGAAACGGATTGGGTTTAGTAGCATTGGAAAAACACATGTTTTCTCCACAAGCCAGGGCCCTCATTAATAGTGATGTGATATGGGTACAAGTTAGAATCCACATGTGATGCATGTGCCACCCATTCTTTATAAGCACGTGCCTTCCTGAGAGGGTAAGGGATGGGGTGCATGGGACATAGGGTCATAGATAGTGATGAGATATGGGTACAAGCTAGAATCCACATGCGATATATGTGCCATCCATTTGTTATTAGCACGTGCCATCCTGAGAAGGTATAGCAGGGAGCGAATGAGATACTGGGCCATAGTGATGGGACATCGGTACAAGTGATGCTCTACACCCATCCCACGCTCATCCCTAAACCCCATATTTACATTAGACTCCCCTAAGTACATAGTGAGAGGAATGCGCGCAGATCCAATGCCCTTGTCACCATCTCCAGCGTGGAACCCCAGCGCGTCGACGAGTCGATGATCAGGCGCAAGTCTTCTGATACCTTCCGCACTCTGCCTCCCTGTCTCCATGCGTTCAATAGTTTATATGTTGAAACCTACCGCAACATCCCGTGTAAGCCTTAATCCTTTTTTAAATAACTAATTTCAAGATTAGCCCGCACTCCTAATCTAATCCGCTTTAAGAAAGTATAATGCAAGCTGAGAATAATAGGAATATTGGGCCCCATTCCTCTAAAGCTAAACTGATTATCCATGGTTATATTCCTTTTTGCCAGTTGATCATGAACCACTGGATGCTTAAATACTCGTTCAATACGTATATAACGATTCTCAAACGATTGGATAAGGTGGGCTTCATCTTGGTCTATATCATCTTTGGATTGCAATAAATGTTATTGGTTTCTTAGGACTAAGCTTAACCCCTGTCCCTTGTTTTCATACCAAGTACCACCTCCTCCTTTACCTAAATTTAAAGCAAGATTTTTCCAAGCACTATACTCCTTTTTGTTTTTTACAAGCTCTTCATCCTCCAATTGACCAGCAAAATTCTCCAATTTATGTCGATAACCATATATGGATATATTAACTTTATGCCAACACTTATTAACTGAATTGTAAGCCCAAAAGCTGTTATAAATATGATAGTCTTTACGTAGCACGATGGTATCTTTCAAAAAATTCAATGGTTTTAAATTCTTCAGTAGATGACCATGCATCTGTTGCAGGGTCGTAAGACCCCCCTACGCCGCCGTCCCCGCATGGGTCGCTACGTAGCGGCTCTAAATGCCCCAAAACCACTCCGACCGCTGCACCCACCACCCGATGTGGCTGGCCACAGCTCGCGGCCTTCGGAGCGGCTCGGCAATCGTCTCAACGTTTAGTGCAAACTGCACTACTAGGTTCAGGACATGGGCCACGCACATGGGGGCTAAGCTGTCAAAATCTAACGAGCAGGAATGAATGCATTGAGCAGCAAGGTAATACAAGTATGACCCTAATTGGGTTGTACCCCGTATAGACCAGTCAAGAAAACAAAGCAAGCTCAGGGTGGATTACGAAGTCACCACACACTCTGAGCACAAGCAAATAGTCACAAGGCCAGTTCACATACAGAGTTGTATAAATGGGAAGAAGTAGTATGGTGATCACAACCTAGCAAGTATAAGCATGCAGGTACAAGTATATAGGTCACAGTACAAGCAAAGTCGCGAAGTGAGCAAGTGAGGGAAAGCAGGCACAAGGCCTAAAACAGTACAAAAACGCTGATGATTACGAGCCTGAAGTGCCTTGGTGAATATATCAGCAGTGTTGGCCCGAGTGGCCACGTAAGCAAGACGAAGCTGACCATGCTGCTGCAACTCTCGAGCAAGGAAGTAACGCAGAGCGATGTGCTTCGTCCTGTGTCCTGACACAAGGCAATCATGGCCTTGTTGTCTACGTACAGAATTGGAGGAGAACGAGGCCGCTCTCCCAAGTCGGTGAGCAGGTAGGTGAGCCAGCGTAACTCGTGTGCAGCCATGGCCCCTGCGTAGATCTCAGCCTCACAACTAGATCTGAGAACAGAAGACGAGCGCGTAGACTGCCAAGAAACAGAACCGGAGCCAAGGCTGAAAGTGTAACACTGTGACGACCGCTGCGTAGCCAAGTCGTCAACCCAAGACGCGTCTGCGTGGCCAGTGAGAACAACTTGACTCCGTCCTCCAAGCACGAGCACCATACCCAACGTACTGCACAAGTAGCGTAACACCCTCTTAGCAGCCTCCTAGTGCTCTGGTCGGTGTCTCCCGGGCGCAACGTAGCATGCCAGGATGCTGAGAGGGTAAGCAAGGTCAGGTCGAGTGCAGGTCATCAGGTACATGAGGTAGCCCACAAGCTCTGGATATGGGCCACTCGGCTCTACGAACTCGTACAAAGGTGGAGCTAAGAGCGAGTGACTGGTAGGCAGAGGAGTGGACTGTGGCGAGGACCAAGTGAAGCCGAAGCGCTGAAGGACCTGCTGCACTATGTGTGACTGAGTCAGGGTGATGGTGCGGCGTGCTCTGTCCCGGGTGATCTGCAAGCCAAGATAGTTGCGCAGCTCACCCAGGTCTGTGCACGTGTGTCTCTTCTGCAGCTCCGACTTCCCTCGAGTCAGTGCCTCAGTGGCAGTAGGGACCCGTAATTGCCTCTACGTAAGAGCGTGGGGTCGGGATGTCTAGAGCATCCGGGTCTCCCTCAGGTGCAAGCAGCATGGACACGAGATGAGGTACAGCAGCTGCAAGACACTCAAAGTCCTCCTGCCTGTCCTCAAGGACGTCCGTGCCAAGAGCACACTCAACCTCGACGGACTAAGGACAGACAGACTCACACTCAATAATAAGACTAGCGGCGTAGTCGAGACGACAAGCAGCAGCAAAGTCAACAAGCTCAGCGACTATGGCAGACGCAGCAGTTGACTCAAACGAAGGGTCAGTAACAACAGCAGCTAGGAGACGCGTGACAGTAGGACTGGCAGCACGAACTAAGTCAGACTCAGGGTCCGGACCGTCAGGAAGAGAGGACGCAGGAGGAGACAGCAAAGGAACTCGCAGTGGAACAGAAGAAGGACAAAGTGTCATACTGTGAGTGCCTAAGACAGGAGGAGGACGCGGACGCGGAGCACGACGACCTGTGCGAACAGCGTGAACAGGTGAGGCAGGGCGAGACGCAGGCTCACGACGCTCTGTAAGAGAGTCTGTGTGCTCAGTGTAAGGAGAAGGAGCAGGCAGTGGGGAGGCTGGCTGTAACTGTGGCTGCGACTGGTCAGGCGGTGGACACAAAAAGGGAGGAATAAGGCTAGTAGAAGACGGGAGACTAAGAACCTAGTGAAGCACCGAGCCAGGTGGCGGCACAGACGACGGTGACGGTGGAGCGAAAAACAAGCGCCGCGGCACACTGCCTCCAGCATCAGGACGGCCAGCTCGAACTAACCCAGCGCCAGCACCTCCAGCAGTAGGGCCTCCAGCTCCTACGCCTCCAGCACCAGTAACTCTAGCTCTAGCGCCTCCAGCTCCAGCACCTCCATCACCTCCAGCACCACCAGCACCTCCAGCACCTCCAGCACCAGTAGCTCCAGTACCTCTAGTACGAGCACCTCCGGGACCAGCAGCTCTAGCACCTCCAGCACCTCCAGCACCTATTGCACCTCCAGCACCTCCAGCACCAGCAGCTCCAGTACCTCCAGTACGAGCACCTCCGGGACCTCTAGCAGCAGCAGCACCACCAGCTCCGGCAGCTCCAGTACCTCCAGTACGAGCACCTCCGGGATCAGCAGCTCCAGCACCTCCAGCAGCAGCACTACCACCAGCTCCAGCAGCTCCAGTACCTCCAGTACGAGCAACTCCGGGACCAGCAGCTCCAGTACCTCCAGCAGCAGTAGCACCGCTGCGGAGATAACTTTAGCAACGGGAGCTAAGCTACGGGCTAGGCACGGATGCTCGTGTGATCTCTGCATTCGTTCACTTAGCTGTTGCCTTTTGTTCACGCTGCTTGCTAGTTCACGGGGAGAATTTGCAAGAGTTTCACTAGGAAAACATGACAACATTGGCATCACAGACTACATCAGAGCTAGCTAGGCTGCTTGTGGACCTCCAGCATAGCACGGTCGACCGCGCTCCAGTGCAGCAGCGCTCGCACCACTCCAGCGTTGCAGAGTAGCGATGCGCCAACGTTGCAAGTCCATGGTGTGCCAACGTCGCAGCAAGTCTGCTGCAAAGCGTTGCACCCGCAGGACAACGGTGCACCTGCTTCGTAGGTGCGTGCAGCTGGTTGGCGCTCCACACCTTGTCACGAGCACAGCGCAGATGCCTGGCAGACTCCACGCCAGCGACTGCACCCACTAGCCACGTCAACCTCGGGACACCAACCTCGAGGTCGGCCTCGCAGACTCCACCCCGGCGACACTCACACTCGTCGCCCGGGTATCCCGGTCGACCGGGCAACCACGCCTGGTCGACCAGCGCAGTTCGTAGCCGGCCACCCATGCTCGGCGTCCCGGCTTCCAGGCACCCAGGACACCGTCCGAACCCCCAGGTCGGCGTCCAGACGCTCAAGACGCCTTGCAGACGTCCAGGGCGGCGTCTAGCCTCCCAGGACGCCGACCAGACGCCTAGGTCGGTGTCCGGCCTCCCAGGACGCCGTGCTGACGTCCAGGGCGGCGTCCAGCCTCCCAGGTCGCCGACCAGAGGCCCAGGTCGGTGTCCGGCCTCCCAGGACGCCGTGCAGACGCCCATGACGTCGACCAGGCGCCCGGGTAGCCGTGCCGATGCCCAGGTCGGCGTCCACTTCCCAGGACGCCGTCCAGGCGTCCAGGATGACGTCC